TTGTTGGAGGATTGGTGGGACATGGCAGCCCTGGAAAAGAATTAACTACTGATTTAATTCTTTTCCAAACCAACTTGGGATTTAAGTCTTTTCCAAAACAACCTGTACACAAAATCTATTCCACCATGGTGCCCACAAAAGAATCAACTCAGGATTTAATTCTTTTTGAAGGGACCCAAATAGCAATAAAGTACCACATTGGGTAGGGGGCACATAAAAAGAATTAAATCCTGAGTTGATTCTTCTACAATAGGGATGGTACCAAGAATTAACTTGGGAGTTAATACTTCTCAGGGGGTAGCTGATAGGTACCAAAAGATAAAGAATTAACCCAGGAGTTGAGAATATTCAACTCGGGTATTCACTCCTTTTCGGGCTTCTCCTAAAACTACCATCCACTCAAGCATGTCTGGCGACACCTAGAGACTGATAGAGATTGGAATCAACACCAATCCCCATCCGTGTCTCTATGAAACAAATCACCTCAACTATAATAAGGCCTCATAGCCTCCAAATCACAAACTGGAATTGGATTACTGTAACTATGATTTATATCACTCATATCACCGACATCCAGAAGGTGGTGACGGTGTCAGACCGCCAGACCGCCAAGCGGTCGTCACGTCACACCTGATCGCCGCTAGGCTCCTGTTGCAGCTTTTCGATTTGCACTTCCAAATGCCACCGGCCACACGCTTCACGTTCTCCTCAGGGATGCCAGGGAGAGGGCATTCCGAATAGCGATGGGGGGCGAGGGCAATCCATAGATAAATGTGGCTCCAAACTCAAAGAGATATCAAAGAGGATACTGGTCTTCAGGACATGCCATGCGACAACTGCTTCGCGGCCCACCACAGAGCCTTGCCGCAGAAGCTACACATGTATCGGGCACGCTGCTGAATCTCGTAGCGCTTGATGATCTTCCTTGCGATATGTTTCGAGACATTTGATACCGGACCTCTCCCCAGAATCTTCAGTTTTCACGAACACACTTCTGAGTCAAATATAAATTGCAAAGTCAGATTCGCCTCCGGATGCCTTTGTGCAAAAATTGTAGATGAACTCTTTAGTGAACTCTTTGGATTGCTTGCATGGAGGTCAGTCTCCCGCTATTCGGATTACTCAAAAGATCTCAAAAGAACTGAGATCCCACAAAGAACACAAAAGGTCACATGGAGAAGCCGTGAGGGAGATCAGAAACCCATCATCTCTCTATCATCGCTCTATCTCCAGCATTGTTTTCCCATCATGAGACGTGACCCCCATGGACATTCCAAGGATCTGCCCCATCATCTCATCTCATCACTCAAACGAGAGTTATATACTAGTAGCTTCTTGCTCCTAGTAGTAAGGCGAGGAGCCCCCAGTGGCGTCCTTGCTCCTAGTAGCGAGGCCAGGAGCCCCTAATAGCTTCTTGTTAGCGAGTCCGACGAGCGAGTCCCCGGACCTCAGGGAGGCACCGTAACGAGTGCCATATTTGCCCGTGATCCCGACCTGGCCGTCGAAAGAGGCGATGACGGACCAGCATAACGGAAGGAGCCGCGTGACGACGACCCACAATAGTGATAACACCTTCAAACGACTTAGTAGTTACAAAAAGCTAGTAGAAACAAGTGCCACGCTAGTAGTAACAGGTGCCTTACTAGTAGTAACAAGAAGCTAGTAGAAACAAGTGCCACGCTATTAGGAACAGGTGCCTTACTAGTAGTTACAAGAAGCTTAATCACCTGCTCCGGCTCTCGGCCCTCGGGTGAAGATAGAGTCAAACCTTTAAAACATGGACAATGATGCATGCCCACCAAAGACCAAAGAGTTTCTACTCACATCTGAACATCTCAAAACCCGAAGAGGAGTTGGATATTCAAACGAAAAATTGATAAGATGGCAAAGGGCCCGATGATAAACCTCGGGGACTGGGTTGGAAACTGGCTTTTCATGAGTGAAAGAGCATGTCGAAGCCTGTGTTGTGGGCTACTGCGGTTGGCAAAAGTGGAAATGTTAGAAAATCACAAAGCCGTACCCAGCGTGCTTCACCTTAACATAGCACTCTGTAGCGAATCTAGCAAACCTTCACCCATGACATTTTCATGACTCTCTGGCCTTCTTGGTACGCTTCGCCATTTGCTTGGACTGAGTTGCAGTTGGTGCTTTTGAGCCGCTGAGAGGTACAAGCCAATCGCTCATGTACAAGGCACATTCCGACCGTGTTAAGTGGACTTATTACTTGTTCAATTGTTCAAGTGAATGCAAAAGCCGCACTGAAAAGTGCCACAAATCGCAAGTCTGCTGGCATTCTGAGCAGTTTCAACCACGAAAGACTCTTTTTCTAGCTCAAGCACTGCCACCTTCTCAAGGTCAATCCTCAACACCACCTCAGGGAGACGAATTCTTCGAAACAATTGGAAAAACGTTTGAAGCAAACATGTCACAAACTGTTCAAAAGCAAAGTTGAACAAAAACACGCTAATAATGATAGGTTTTAAAAGGGCGTTCCATGCGTCTGACAGTAGTTGAATTCCAATTGAGTTCCTACCGCGACTTTCTGGTTATTGATGATAAAGTTTTTCTTGACAGCAAGTTCACCAAGTTACTAAGCTGGAATTTTGCTGGTATGAGCAATTTGTAAACCAGCAATTTGCAAAGTGTTGCATGCTCGAATGACACCGAATTCCGACCCTGCAGCTGCTTCCTCAGGCGCGCGATGGTCGCGCGCACAGTGGCAGCTGGGCCCGTGCTCAGGGTCCAGCAGCCACCAGCCATGGTCCTTGTGCCACCGAACAACGCCAACAACATTGTTGCAATGACTTCTATATAATTGAACAAAATGATTCGCGTGGACATGATGGCAGCTGCCCTTCGAGTGTAGCCTGCAGGATACTCTAGTATGTATTATGAAATATGATGAAATATGCAACTAGCAAAACCTAGACACTTAACATACTGCATATATCATATATATACTTCCAAATACCCACTGACCGTGGCACATGTAACCTTCCATCTGTGGCTCACAAGCATGCTGGGCTCCTGTTGCAAGTCTTGGACTTGCATTTCCAGATGCCGCCAGCCACTCGCTTCACGTTCTCCTATAGCAATGGACTGTTGTACACCCTGGTGGGACCACTGGAACTGGTGCACTGAAGGCTAGTACCGTATACATATATATACATATGTAATGTTCAGTATGTTAATTGTTTCAGGTACAAGTAAGATCTCAGTGCTGGAGCGACTTTGAGGGTCGGGTTCGTTGGAACACCTGTTCCGACATCAAATCTGTCTCCTTGCCGCAGAAGCTGCACATGTAGCGGGCACGCTGCTGGATCTCGTAGCGCTTGATGATCTTCCTCATGCCCATCAGAACTCTAGTAAGAAGTTCATCGCTACTAGTAACAAGGGCATCGCTATTAGCAACGAGAAGCTACTAGTAGCAAAGGGCGCGCTACTGGGAGCAAGGACGCTGCTAGGGGCTCCTGGCCTTACTACTAGGAGCAAGAAGCTACTAGTAGCGAAGGGCATCGCTACTAGGAGCAAGGACGCTGCTAGGGGCTCCTGGCCTTACTACTAGGAGCAAGAAGCTACTAGTAGCAAAGGGCGTCGCTGCTAGGAGCAAGGACGCTACTAGGGGCTCCTGGCCTGACTACTAGGAGCAAGAAGCTACTAGTAGCAAAGGGCATCGCTACTAGGAGCAAGGACGCGACTAGGGGCTCCTGGCCTTACTACTGCATCGCTACTAGTAACAAGGGCATGGCTATTAGCAACAAGAAGCTACTAGTAGCAAAGGGCATCGCTACTAGGAGCAAGGACGCTACTAGGGGCTCCTGGCCTTACTACTGCATCGCTGCTAGTATCAAGGGCATCGCTATTAGCAACAAGAAGCTACTAGTAGCAAAGGGCA